GGAAGTTTTGAATCTCGGAGGCGAGTTGTCATGCAGGGTGGAGACAGTAATGGCAACGGTTGGGGCTCTCTGGCAAGATGTGGCAAAGAGATGGGCTACCAATAAGATCACGCTGACCAACTCCATCAAAAGACGCGGTCCTAAGTTTTACTAAAGAACTGACATTCTTCATGGTAAGCTGTCAAGTCAGCTAGCAGCTGGGCCTCTGTATTCAGGAGTTCCTGCGTGGCTTGGACTGCGGGGACACTGTGCATCGTGTGGCGAGCTGAGGTGTGCCTTTGCTTTCCGACACTCCATGAGTTCTTTTTTGCTGAGGCTTCCAGTGTGAGGACACTGCTGGGACGAATCAGGCACAGCAAACTCAGCGTGTTCCGCATCGCATAGATTCCCAGGGCTTGTTTGCAGCTGATCGTGTGAGGTGTGGCTCCAGCTGACCCCTCGCACCATGATTTGTGAGGGGACGGAGTACACACTGTTGTTTGAAACCAGGAATCTTGGCATCTCCTTGATAGGATGGTCGTTATTTTTGAACATTCGCCACATTTTCGCGCCTGCACGAAGTGCACTGCGCGTCTTGCACACGTCGGTGCGTCCTTCTCAAGACTCACCGAGATAGTCCAGTATTGCTCGAATACCTGAGCTTTTGGTGGTTTGTATGATGTATGATGCGATGGATTCGGATGGTACCTCCAGGCCTCTAGGCTTTAGCAAAACACAGGACGAAACACCGCCAGCTCGTTCATGTCTGCCCCGATTTCTTTTCCTCCGGTCATCAGCAGTGATTGTGATACTTCTTCACTCAAGCCCGTTCGTATGTGGTCTTCCGGCTGACGCAGCTGATTGTAACCGGGAGCTTGGCACATCCTGTGGCCTCGCAAACCGAGAGCGGTCATTTAGCAGACATTTCGGTCAGCATTGTAGCTTGCAGCTCGAGCTGCAAGAGATTCCGACGGAGAGTTGAAGAAAATGTGCCAAACGTCGCACGAACATCATGCATGTCTGAAATAATCCATGACTGCAGCAGTACCTGGGTAGAGCAACAAGCTTCGAGCATGACCGCAACTTTCTTGCTTTCTGACCCAGCGAGCTAGGTCGCACACGCCGCGTCGCAACAACTGATTCAATCTGGTGTTGGGGTGGTTACAGATGGGTCTAGGTTTGCATTAGTGGAACTCTTTCAATCCAGACCGTTTGACTAGGGATCCATGGAAGGCTGGCCACCAAAGCAAAGCTGGAGCCAAAGACGACCGCTGTTTGGGATCCGGGTTGCCTAGGCCAGTTGATGAATGCACTGAGGACATGGGGCAATCTTTGGAAGCATGCTGTGCTGATCCCAAGCCCAAGAAGCTCATCTTGCAGACAAGGCGAGACAGGAGGGCTTTCGTGCTATCCAGCGTCATAGTAAGAGTAGTAGCCTGCTCAAAAGGCTTGCAGATGCATGAAGTGCTGGGGCCATTCAAACCTCACAGACAGTTTTACTTATCGACTTTGTGTTTTGTTTTGTGGTCGCCATAGCAGGAGATACTGTCCAACAAATGGGGTTACATGAAGCTGTTTTGGGTGTTTCAATACGACACTTGAGTGGGCACTGCCACAGACGTAACCTGGTCGTGCAATTCACAGCACAAGAGCCGCAGCCGAGGTGCTTGCTGCTTTCAAGCATTCTTGAAGCCTCTCGCCCGAGCCATGAAGCCGGTCTGGACCAGAGCATCCGAACTGCCAGATCGAGGGGCAGGTCCTAGTTTGAAGCGCGCGTCGGTGTAGATGGCACTGTAGGTCGTGCTTACCGGATTGCAGAAGCGCCGTTTATAAAAAACATCTCGCACCCCCGGCGTTGATGTTGCAGGATTCTCTTTTTGTCGATGTTTGCATGAGAGAGGAGGATATCTACATGATGAGGCCGGGAACACATGTCGTGGAGTCTCTGCAGGACCGTGGCACAACGGACGAGATCTTCCTGCAAAGCAAACAAAACGAAGCTTCAATCGACTCTGAACCTTCTCCAACTCGTTGCCCTTCCGGCAATCGTCGGGCCAACCGTTGCCGTGCATCCATCAGAACTCAGAGGTTGGTTGCGCAAGCATCGTGCAGAAGCATGATGGAAGATAAAAGCATCTGTCTCGATCTCTAGAATTACAAACCCTAGCAACCCAAACATTGGCATTTCTGTTTAACACTTCTGGTGCAAGACAACATGCTTCCTCACACCTGAGAGCACCCCAACAGGTAGTTGAATCTTGAGAGGCCAACTCCGAGAACAAGGTGTGTGTTCGGGGCTCAGCAGTGTCACTGGTAGTTGGCGGGCAAGTTTCACGGTCCGTCAGCAATCTTGAACCGCCAAGCATGAAGCGCACGGCAGCCCACCAGGACCTAGCTGAAGTCCCATGCAAGGTCGGTTCAGGAGGTGGACGAAGAGGAGGTTGGCGATCTGAAGTGCGGCCCCAAGCCGAGCCTAAAAGTTTCAGAGCTCAGGCTTCCAAAGTTCTTACAAGTAACAGGAAATCGGAGAACTGCATAACATCTTCACAGAAGCTACAACTACTCGAACTTTATTCCGGCATCGGACCTGTGCACAGGGGAGAGGTAAACCTTTGCAGAGCCGAGGGACTGTTTGCTAGACAGCTGGGGATGAAAGCGTTTGCAACAAATTTCTTGTTGCAAGGTGCTTCACAATTCTTTGCGAGTCAGGACGGGGAGTGCGATGTTTGCATGTTCTTGCAACCTGCATGCGTTTGATGCGGACCATGGCGAAAGGAGAGTTCGATGACTCTTTGCAGACATCGGTGATCAACCAGGAGCGTAGAACCAAACGTCGCAAAGAATCAGATGGCTGGGCCGCGCAGCACGTGACGCAGGAGGACCTTATCATACTGAGAGGTCACATTGCTGAATGATGGAGCCATTGAGATTGTTGAGCAGGCTGAGATGTTGCTAACAGCTAACACCTGCTCCAAGCACAGACATGCACACACCTGCACGAGTCTGTCAGCAATCCCGACATCAAATTGCGCAGCTTGTCCTTCAAGCAGGTCTCACCAAAGACAAGTCTGCTGCAGAATCAGTAGCTTGGGCAACCAACCGCGCACAATGGAATTACTGCATCATGGATGGACGCAAGTGTTGACTCAGAAACTGCGACCATGCAGCAGATTCCTTCGCAGCCATGGAGACAAGCGCTCACGCAGCCGCAATCTGTACAAATCACCCCGCGCGTCGAGGGAGTCTTCGATTTGTGCCCATACTGTCGCAGTGTCTGTACAGGTGAATTCTCATCCTGCCGAAATTGTGGCAGGCAGAGGCACTCGTCGAAGACCTTTTTAGACGGTGAGTTCTTGGAACTGAGGGATTCTCTTTCCTCAGCTCTCCGTGCAGCTCCTGCGGCGCAAGCCTCTCAGGGGAAGCAGGCGCTGGCTCTGCAGACTGTTGTCGAGGAGTCGCGTGTCTCGGTTGAAGGGGTGTCTAGCTTTTCATCATACCCGAAGTCCATCTGTGATCCGGCTTCGCCGGAGCCCAGTGAGAGTTTCGACAAATGTCAGCACTGCCACGATACCTACCGGGCGGATGCGTTGTTTTGTCAGCAGTGTGGCCAGCCTCGAGAATATGATAGCGAGGGCAACGAGTTGATTTTCATCCAGGCAGATTATTTGTCAGTGACAGATCCGGACAAGAAGGCTAAACTCGAAGAGGTGAAGGCGAAGCTTTCTTTTCTGCTCGGGCAAGAATCTATGCAAATGGAAGCAAAGCCTGCAGAAGCACAACATGGAGTTTCCCCAGATCATCACACATCGGACATGTGTGTGAGCCCTCACCAGAATTTCAGTCCTAACAGTACCTTTGCAGTCACAAGTGCTCCAGACAGACATGGTACTCATTCGTTGGATGATACATGTTCAATGCCCTGGGAAGAGATGTCTCCAATCCTTCATCGTGCAGGGAAGCTGGCGACAGCGGCGTCAGATGTCGGTGATTCAGAGGAGGCATGTCAGCTGCAAACTTTGGTGTTTTCTGGGTATCCAGCTGCTCCGTCTCCCCCTGAACCACGATACATGATCGACCGTGGCACCATGAGCGAAACGATTTCGCCTGCACCAGAACCGGCTATCCAGCCGTCCAGCGAATCTGGCGACTGGCTGGAGTGGTTGGTGAATGCATGGGAGACGGACTCAAAGGAACTGCACTTCATTCGCCACGACTGGAACATCGATGACACACCTTTTGCTGCGCAACTGCGAAGTTGGCCCGAGAAGCACAACGAGTCTATCACTGGCTCTGCTATCCCGGCACTCCCATCGGCCGAGCCATACGACTCCCCGGATCCATGCGTGGTCATGTAGCCCAGCCCGGCACACACCGCCGAATCGGCCTGAAGCTGTTCAAGGTGTTTTGCTGGTCGAGTCGGCTTTTCGCAACCCCCAGTATTTTCTTGGTTTTAGATTCTGACCTTCCGAGAAAAATCTGTGCTGCAGCTTAAGTGCAGTGAAAGTAGCTCGATGTCATGGGTGAGCGTTTACTGCGACTGTTGGAGGCCTGCGCCGCTACAAAGGCCTTCCAGCCTGGAGTGACATGCCAGCCTACCGCAAATTGCGAAGGCCGGCAAAGGTCAACTTGTCGCTAAGCAGCACTTGTACTGGTCATTTGGACTTCATTGAAAAAGGCGTGGAACTGGAAACTTCAGTGGGCTGCAAGCACTCCGTAAACGGGCCAACTTGACTTCTTGGCTCCAGCTCTGCCTTCTGCAATCTGCAGAGCTGTGTGAGACGAAGCATTCAATCAGAAGGGCATAATGACGCATTCAAGATGTCCATTGGGACTCCCAAGACTCCGAAAATTACCACTTTCATTGTCGATGCGGCCGTCTTTAAATTAACGAGATGGCTCGGACAAGTTTCTCAGCGTTGGTGGGAATGTAAGGTGTGGGAAGCCCAGTTTCGGATCCGGCTAGTGATATGGAGTTGCGTGTGCCACACTTTGCTAAGACTGACAATGCCTACGAACTGGAGATGACACTGGTGATGGCCCGGAACTGGGCAACAAATGTCGGGAAATGAACTCTGTGGCATTCATTTCTTAGGCCCCAGAAGACCTGGGACGTACTTCATCAGCTCTCGAGGTCCGTCTGTTGTCCTTGTGTAGAGGCGTTTCAGAGGAAGCTTGTATCTACGCTACGTCTTGACCTCGGGTGCAGCCGCAAAGGACACCTGGAACGATCGAGTCAAGACAGTGCTCCCTTCAGGCACCACGCATCATCCCACGTGCACCTCGACTTGCCGCCGTGTCTCAGAACGAGGGCATTGATATTGACCTCTTGCTTATGGCTTATAGCTGCTAGCCGCTAACACAAGCATGACTCTGCGACGAGCTCGGAAAATCTTGCCGAGGTGCCGGATCAAGACGGAAATCTGCGTGTCGACGAAGCATATGTTCAGCTTATACAGCCAGACCAGGTGCGCAGCGGAACGGTCAAGTTGGCAGCTTATGGCAACTTGTGTTTGAGTTCCGCTCCGTTTTGAATCTCACCCCCCCAGACGAAGTCAAGTTGATGGTGTGGTAAAGAGGGGTGTGAATTTAGACACAATCACCAGCTGCATCGGCTCGTTGTGAGCAGGCAGCTACGCAGAACCTACCCCCGGAGCAGGTCATCTCCTCAGCCATAGCTTCCACTACTCACGCATCTCAAACTTCCAGTTTGGAGCACGAAGTTGCGCAGCTCGGAGCACTTGTGTGGCGGCATGCCAGGTTGCATCTTCGAATGGGTTGACTTCACTCCAGGACTCGTGAAGCTGAGGTGAGTGTCGGTCAGGGAGGTTTGGAGTGGGGATCGCTCTTCAACTGTTCTTGTGTTGACGCGTAATCGTCGCTACCAAACTCAAACAAGAGTGAATCAACGCCCGAAGATCATTCAGCCAAGCCAAGCATGCCCAGCCAAAAGCTACGACGGCCCTGCGATGCCCTGTCAGCATCGCACCCGCACAACCACAACCATGCACAACATGATTACCCGCATTTTGCTGCGGGGACTGTGCTGCCCAACCATTAGACGTCAGAGCAATCAACTGCAGTTAGACGTTTCCCGGCCCTCTTGGAAAGCGCCGAACGTCGAAGTGGTGAGTCTTCTCACTACATTGACATTGTTACATAGAAAGCTAGTCTCGATTCTCTCTCTCTCTCTCTCGCTTCGCCCACACTCGCACTCACGTCCAGGTGCGCATTGGGTCAAACGCTGATTGAGGTGAAGGGAACGCGGGCATACCTTGCTCCAAATGAGGGGCCTGTTTAAGATGTCTGGTGAAACGGAAGCGTCAAATGAGGGGTCGTGTTTAAAATATATGTTGAACCGGAATCGGGAAATGATAAGGCAGTTCAAAAAATATGATGGAACCGGAATCGCCAAATGAGGGGGCGTGTTTCAGATATATGATGATCCGGAATCGCCAGATAAGCTGGCATGTTTACGATGTATGTTGAAGCGGAATCGCCAAATGAGGTGGCCTGTTTCAGATATATGAGCACCAGCACCAACAGCAGCAGCAGCAGCAGCACGACAAGCGGCAACACCAGCAACACCAGCAACAGCAGCAGCAGCAGCACGACAAGCGCCAGCACCAGCATCAGTAAAATCCCCTAATGGCGTGATGCGAAGGCAAACCCCTAAAAGTAGAGCCCCCCCATAGAGTTTGCTAGGGCCCGGCATGCCCATACGAAGCCTGCCCGGGGCACGAAACAAGCCTTCTGGAACCGGTTAAGTAGTTTTTTGCCTTTCTTAAGGGTTCACTTGCTCCTTCTGCCCTGGGCATCAAAAAGCCTTTTGGGGCCGGTCAAGAATTTTTTCTGCCCTAGGCGCCCCCTCCCTGCTCCAACAGGACACGAAAAAATTGCCCCAGCTGGAAAGTGAGCATGAGGAGCCTTTTTTGGGTTATAAACAAAGCTCCGACTCTGCCCAAAGCAGACCGGAACCTGCGGTCAAGATAGAATTGACCTGTCGCACGCTACAAGGGTTGCAGAGCGTAGCTGGCAGGCACAGATCCCCCCCTCCCCGAGGCCAGTCATGGTACCCCCCCCCATAGTAACCCAAACCCACCTAGCTACCCACGGGGTACCATAAGATGGGGAGAAGGGGCCGGGAGCCTGGTAGCTCTGCGCACCATCTCGAGCCCCGAGCAATCAGAACAAGGAGAAGGATTCGTTGTGGAACACGGGCGGCAGGATGTTACACATGTTGCAAGTAAGATTCGACTCACAGGAGTTGCAGTATCAAGCGCATGTGGAGTGTGGAGCCAAGTCTTGGTTACTTGCGGTGTAGATCTGCCCATGTTCGATTCTTGGTTTTTTCTCGCCTCAGGCAGCAACTACTTCAATCTCGTCTGCAGCAATTGCATGGGCATGGGTCTCCAGACTTGAAGAAGCTTTATGTTCTTCATGACTCCGTACTCTTGGCCTATGTGCAACCCCGCGCATCGCGTTGCTTGAACTAGTTGCAATTCATTGCTGCAGGTTGCAACATCTCGCAACAGAGTGCTGCACACAATCTGCTGTTGCATGGCCGGCTGAGTGCTAAGGACTGATGCAAGTTTCCGTGGCCTCCTGCAGCAACTGCAGCCGCTGCAGCCAAGCCAATGTTCAGTTTTGCATCAGAATTCCAACCAAAGCGGTGTTCCCAACTTCTGGATGCCGCACATGCCAATGCCGGAAGGCTTTCACCGATCGCATTTCGCCCGAGCACCACAGGATTCATGGAAATCACAACAGCACGGTCAGCAGTCCGTGAACTTCCAGGTGGCACAGCCACCGCACTCGTGGCAGTATGGCCAGTGCAACCACGGCAACCCCACGGGCATGGTGCCCTGCTTGGAACCTCACTCAGATCTTTCAGCCATTCAAGAGCCGCCGATGCCTGAGAGGATTTCTGACTTTTTTGCACCATTCACAACAAGCACTGCAAGCTCCTGAGGGTTACGCAAGTCCAACCCATGGGAAATGACATGCTGCCGTCCCTCTTGCTACATGGCCAGCATTCGTTCCAAACGACGTGGAAGCCGGACCTCCACGTGCATGTGAGGCCTCCTCGCGGACTCGATGCTCCCAAACTTGTGATGAAGCCCTTGGTGCCGCCTCCGCCTGTCTCGGCCATCTGACGGATTGAGAATTGATTTCGGTCTTGGACCCATGTCCGGACTCCCCTTCAGTTTGCGAGTCTTGTCAGCTGAGGCTCCAGTTCCGCATCCTGTTGAGATGGGATTGGCTTGGCCAGAACAGCAAGGACAGCCAAACATTCAGGATTTGGGGCCGTGATTCCGCCCTTGTTTGCAGGACAGGGCCTCCCGGCCCCAGCGCGAACCCCCACGCTGGCCTGTGCTTCTCAAGGTCGCGGCTTGATAGGCGGCGTGGACCCATTGCTGGCTCCGATGGGCGTCGCTCAGTCAGAGTGCAGGGCCCGGCTCGAGAACGGATGAAGCGCACGAGGAGCTTCTGTCGTTCATTGCCTGAGGCACTCGTGGCCGATGAGAGCCGACCACGGCGGCGATCCAGGCTTTTCGCCCAGCCCAAGCGTGCGGTGTTTCTTTCGTGAGGTGAAGGCAGACGGACCCAAAGCATCTGCATATTTCGTGAAAGAAGCGGAAATCGCCGAGGGTTGACGCAGCTCTAAACTCTAATCTCATGGACTTGACAAAACCACCCTCGCCCAGGTTTGCATCGCATGGCAGGCCGAATGCGAGAAGCTTCCGTCTTTTGTGCTTGCAGGATTTTTGGGGTGCTGGTGGCGGCACGGAGTGTTCTGCAGCCCACACCGCGGCACCTCGGTGATGCCCAACGTGCGGCAGTGGCTCATCCCAGTCTCTTTCGCTTTTCTCGCCTCCCCTATGCCACCCTGTCTCCCGTTTCGGATTCCGTCATCTCAATCGCCATCAGCGCACATCGCTACATTGGATTTTTCTCCACGAAACTTGCAGATTAGATGTGCCATGCACTGTTCCGCATGACCCACATGTTTGCGATGCTCAGCACCTGCGGATTGAGGCCCGTCGATGCCCGTTGGAGACGCCCGCGCACTGCGGGCAGCTTTGGGTCCTCTGTTCGTCTCCTTTGTTCTTTCCCGCCCCAGTTCTGAAGCAGAAGCCGGGAAAGGGCCTGAAAGGGTGGGAAGCCTACCGTTGCACCCCGTTCCTGAAAAGCTTCGACAAAATTGCGCAAGGAAGCCGCAGCGCAGAACCCACCTCGTCAGGAGAATCACGTTCCTGATGCAGTTTGTTGGTACACCAGGTTGCCCCGCCGCCGCAAACTAAGGACAACAATCACAGACCTCCCAAAAACACGGGTAAAGACCGTACACCTCTGCTGCACTGAGAGAAAGAAACGTGTTAGTTCCATAGCAGATTGTCCGCCGAAATCCCATATATGCCGCAGCTGCGAAGAGGATATCGCTGAGCTGACGAACCATTGTAGGAGAAGAGTTAGAAGAGGCCGCCGAAACCAAGAATCTCACCTATGCTAGGGCGATACGTCGTCCTCATCGGGTCCAGGTCACCTCCAAACTTCACCAGGAGGGTGTCTTCCTGTGAGGGCACAACTCTCAACGGGGTCATTGTTTGTTGACGCAGAAGCATCAAACAGGTTCGGGCACATCTCGCGAAACACGCCTGTGTACCCCAAAGAAGTCGTCTATTGGTCAAGAAGATGATCACCACCACAATACCAGTGACTACCAGTGTCCCCACGAATCTCTCCCCGACTCGTACCGAGCTTGAGGGGGAACAGGGATGCTCCTAGACGGGGACCGGGCCATGGAAAAAACCGCTCACTACCGATTGGAGATGTTCCTTGCTAAGATGTGTCCAAGCTGACTCAACAGCGATGTCCCATGTCCAGGCTCTCGCTGGATTCCTGTGATGTTGAGAACCCTGCCCTTCTCGTTTCTCTTGTGCATTTTGGCGGTCTAAGTTTGGGTAGTTCAGTTTTCGTGATAAGTTTGTCACTCCAGTTCTCGCATCGTGGTGATTCATGTTGGGTACTTCCACAGTGGTGTGCTTCTACGACTTTCAACGTAAACTGTAGACACCAGGGTTGGTTTTTGAAACCTGGAGCGGAAACAGCGCTGGACGCCTGAGTAAAGCCCTCTCCATGCAGATTCTCCTGAGTTTGGCTTGGCGATGCCTTCGCATGCCTTCGACGGCAAGCAATTCCTCCAATCAGATTTCCACCCAGAGTTTTGGGACCTTGTGGGCGAACTTGCTTCAGGCTGTTTGCCTCCATCCCCCACCAGCCTCGTTCATGTCGGCAGTTACACCCGAGAGCTCGGCTGTTAAGTGGCATTCTTCTAAGAGTCTAAGCATTGCAACAGGTGTCACTGCCAAGCAGGATCAGGAGATTTTGGACACCTTGCATTCCAGCGGTTTCGCGTGCTCCTTAAGTCTTTAACGAAATTCCGCACCATGCATAGCCTGCACCGCTGGGTTGAGCCTCCCAGGCTGTTGACTTCGGCGCTGCAGATCCTCGGCACTCGCCTGTGATGTAACATGGTCGAATCTCTGCGAAATGGCAAAGTTGCGAAGGTCAGACAGGGATCTTAGCCAGATGATCGACACCATGGCCACGCAGGCAGTATCTGCAGCTGCGAGCAGCCAAGTCAGGGTGCGAACTTCGGAGACAGAGACAGGGCAGTGCACAGAGTGGATCCGGATTGCAAGCGGCTCGGTGCGAGATTTTGACTCTGCTGAGTATACCGCGCCGTGAAGTCATGTTGGAACTCTGGAGGCCTTGGGATCCTTGGGAGCCTCGGAGCGGAATACGGCCCCGGGACGAGAAGGCATCGAGACAGCTGACTACTTGCAAATCCGTGCTGCGCCTGAAAAGAGCGACAGGTGACTGAGAACGCTGAGATTCCTGGTTGAACACTCGGTGGGCTTTGAGAATCCGTGCGCGTGCAGGGAAACTGTTTACGTCGGTGCCTTCATGCATTCAGACAACCGTACAGTTTTGAGGCTTGTCTTCGTCACGGCCTGATCGAGCTGCCTCGAAGCCCGCTGCCACAGCTCGCGAAGAAATTTTGCGAAGGTTACTGTGAATTTTCGCGGATGTCTGCTTCCAAGGCCAATCCCCCACCGTCCGGATGCACCTCGGACTTCACAGACGGATTCGAGCACTTGTTATGCAAGCCCACTCGGTTCCGGCTTTTGCGGTTGAGGGTGTAGGGTTTAGGATTCCTGTAGGGATTTCGGGATTTAGAGGTTTGGCACCCTTCAAGCTGCTTCTTTCCACACTGAGCCTCCATGTGCGTCGTTGTTGCTTCATGAGGGTTTAGCCAACAACATGGATGTCGCTCAGTTGTAAGCATCCGGTCAGATGTGCCCGAATCCGGTGACTCCCGGCATCCGAGAGCACGAATCCGCCACTCCGATCTTTCCGGTGCACGCATCGAGCCGTTACCATATCCTGTCATACCCCATTGGCAGCACGGGGAGAACAAAGCCAAGGTGCAACTTCGAAGCGGGCCGATTGTTGCTGCAGAGGCCTGCAATGACCGAGTGCGTGCGGGCTTTGGACGGCGCTCTGCAGGAGTTCTTGCGAAGTTACAGGCCTCAAATGCACCTGCAAAGTCTGGAGCCCAAAGGCCAAAGGCCAAAGACATCGTATGGCCCGCTGGAGAACAGACGGTACCGAGGTCTCGTGTATCCCAGCCTGCTCCTCGGAGCCCTTTCTCCCTTTCGGGTGTGATGTCAATATGCTGCTTGTGTGGTTGTTTCATTTGGGTGGCTCGGTCGGGTGAGTGGATGATGTAGAGTTGACTGAATCCTGAACCTCAAGTCCTTCAGCCCAAACCCTACAGTGTAGCAGCTGCCGTTGCTAGAGGCAGCTCTGTTCTGGCCGCAGCACACCCCCACAACTAGCAGCTCCAGGTTTGGGTCGTGCATAGCAGCAAGCATGCCAAACTCCGACTCCCGGGAGACCCTTGCAAACCGTGTGACCCTTCCGTCAATAGCAGGTTTGCTGTCGACCCATCCTGCGCATTTGGCGAACCATTCAAACTCACCAACGAAGTCTCTGATTGTTGCCGTGAAGCATTGGCAGCGGACATCTACTGGGAGTGTTGTTGTGAGGTTGGTCCTACTCTGCGTTTTACTGTTGACAAGTTGACGGTCACAGCCACATTCCACGCCACTCAGATGGCACAAAAGTGGACTTCACCGAGCTGGCTCCGGTCCGAGGCTAAGTTCCTGCTCAGGCGCCTAGCCCATGCTGGGCCTAGAATGTGGGCAAGGACGCCGAGAGTGCAGTTCAGGTGCTGAGGGCAGTGGCGGTCGCTAACTCTCAGTCACTTCGGCGGAATCTGGGCACCGGGGCGGGGGGAGGGGCGGGTTGTTTGCGGCTCTGTTCCCAGGTCCAGCGCTCGGATGCTGCAGGCCATCGAGTCCGGCTCCCACGCAGGGGCGCCCAGCGAGCAGAGCAGAGCACAGCGGAGCCAGAGCAGCGGACGAAGGGCAGAGGAGGTTTTCAGGTTTCCAACGGCGACCCTTCTTGAGGTGAGGACCGCGCTTCAGGTCTTTCGCGAGTGCTGCAGATGCAAGAAGCTTTACAGTGGAAGTGCCCACCACATTGTCACCACCGGTCAGAATCTGTAAGGTGTGATGCAGATGGTTGCCGCAGTCCCAGGGGCTCGCAGTGCAAATGGGTGCAGCTACGACCTGGCACAGTTGCCGAGGTGGCTTCCTGACGTGGAGCAACGGGGGAATACGGGATTTTGTGTGGGTCCTGGTGCTCGCACGTGTTTCCGTGCAGTGGTTTTGTTGGATCTTGTTGTGAGGTCATGGCCGTCTTTACTCAGCTGGGTCTAGTTCCACCTGCCGAGCCGCTCGCCCTTGGATGCCGGGAGCTTGTCCTCTGTTGGGGTCTGCTTTGGAGCGAAGGATGCAGACCTATGCCGCCCATACCCTCTTCGACATGAACAGGACATATCGGTGGTGTGTGAATTCATGCAACACGAACTCTTGGAGTAGAGCTGCTCCTGGACTGTTCGGCAGGACCATGTGTCTTTCAGCGTGCCAGGACCTCATCTGTCAGCCCCTTTTTTTAGAAGTGATCCGCAGCTCGCAGCAGCATTTGCCTCCGTAAGCAAAAACCGATGCGTGATTTGGAGCTGAACCGAAGCCCCTCACTGTGAGTGAGCACGTAGAGCCGCTCTGCACCGAATCATGATGTAGCTGGGTCTCTCAGGAGCATCTCAGAGTCTCGGGATGAGTTGTGAACACACCCAGGTGACTGCCTTTGTCTGACTGACACACTTCTGCGTGTTTGCTCCTCAGGGAAACTACTAGTAGATGTTCGTCTGAGGCGTTGTCAAGCAAGAGTCTCCCAGCCTAAGGCAATTTTCCTGTTCAATTCAGAGGATGCTCCGACAATGCAAGCCAGGTTCTGAGGATCTCTGCAGGGGTAAGACGGGGGATGGTTTGCATAAGGCCGAGCCTCCAGCCAAAGCGCGTGCAAATGGCGCAAAGCGAAGTCCTCGCCCCGTGGTGCCCGTGGCAGAGGTGCGTTGCTTCGTGGACAATCGTTGCGTCATGGCCAAGCTAGAATGCTGCCATCGGTGCTTTCTGGCTAGGAGCTTGCAGAAGCCCAGGCTGAGACAGAAAGGCTGAGGCAGGGCGCTGATGTAGCATCACATGCTGTGTAGTGTATGTCAAGTCAGGCAAGAGCTCGTCGCTCGTCGGCAGAGGGCATCAGTGCTGTACAAGTTTATACAGTCGATTTGCAGATTGAGGAAGAGCTGCAAGCTGCAGAAGCCCAAGCAGATGCCATGGCTGCAGACGACAAGGAAATGCCAGATCCTGAGAGGAAGATTCTAGGCCCTAGGCCAGGAGTTCTGCATGAGAGGTCGAAGCCTTGACCTTGAAAGCCGTTGAATGAGGCCGGGCCCGGGCCCCGAAGCGGCCTCTGCCCGCCACTGCAGAGGCATTGGCGACACATCCGTCGCTCGCAAGAATGACACGACATGCAGGACCTCCAAGTTTGTGTAGGTTTCAGGAGAAGCTGACTTTTCACCGTCACGTACTCTGCAGCAGGTTATTTTGCTTGTTGTAAAGCCGACGACTCGTACACAGGTTGGTCTCGATGGAATTCCGTGGACACACTAATTCTGTGTAGAAAGGTTAGTACCGCAGCAAGAAACTAACTTTGTAGGGCCAGATTGCCGTCGGGAGAATCGTCACATGAGTGTTGCAATGCTGCCGAGGCCCTGGTGTGGACCGCCAGGGCACATGCTGAGAACAGCCGCTTGGAAAGAGAGCTGAAGAGCCTACGCTCCTTGGCAAACAGGCCTGACACTGGACGGTACTGATTCTGTCTTGCATCCTTCAGTCTGCGTGCCAGGCAGCGCGGTGAAGTTCACTGGCTCCATGAACTTCGAGAGCAGCTGCAGACGGCCTGCCGGCAGGAGGCCCGACGAACAACTTTTTTCAAGTGCAGGCAGCGCCGGCGGCTGCGTGCTTGCTTCCAGGAGCTGGAGAGGGAGCATCAGCAGCTTATGGAATTGCAGGAGGAGCCTTTGGCCAGAGCTGAGTGAGCAAGATGGGGAAAGGCCACACTGTTCCTCGGAGCCTTGCGCGTGCGGAGAAAGCAGGGCACAACGGAAGTGCCAGCACAACGGAACGCCGGGCCTTGAGGTGTAGGGTTGCTTTACCGCCTTGGAGGAGGATGCAGAGGCAGAGCTGCGAGAACGGGACCTCGAGCGTCGGCGAGAGCAGCGACTTGAAGCCCTGGTGCAGGTAGCATGCGCCGTCATGCGCCGTCCGCCGTCGCGCGCCGTGCGCCGTATCACTGCCCTTCTGCAGGAGCGCCAGGAGAGGCGCGAGCGCATCGAGCAGCGCGAACGGGAACTGCAAGAGCAAGAGCTTGCTCACGCCAGCTCCTCGGTTTCACGGGACTCGGCGGACTCGGGCCGAAGCGCAAGAGAGCTCGGCCAGGACCTGGAGCAGCAGCGCCTCATGCGAAAGGAGCAGGTTTGTGCGTACGAGGGCGAATGGCGGATAGAGAGCCGGCTGATTCATGCGCAAAGCATGGGAGGACCTGCAGCAGCGGGAGAGGGAGCTTCGGAGGGAAAGGGAGAAGAGGCTGCAGCAAGCGGAGGCACCGAAGTGAAGTGTTCCGAGCGTGCCATGATGTACCATGCCAACAGCCCTGAAACCCCTGCAACGCAAAGATGTCCATATCCTCGACCCAATCCGAAGTAGCCCATAGCAGGACTTAAGCTGAGGTTTTTGTTGCCCGCTGTCCGTTTCCTGAGTTTGTGCCTCTTTGTGCTGCACTTCCCCGAAATCCAAAGGATGTCGAGTTGCTCCACGGCTGTGCTTGCAGGGTCAAGTCTCGGAATAAAGACTCGCTTCCTACAGCGTAAGCGATGCAAGCACGCAGGCGCTGCGGAGCCATGAGCTCGACTTCTCGCGAGAGCTGGGACGGCTCAAAGGGAGCAGTGGGCTGCACGAGGCTGGAGCCTAAACCTGCTCTCTTGGGGGTTCAAGCCCAGACTTTTCTTGGAAGAGGCGTCGAAGTTTTGATATCATGTCATTATGGGTAATTCTGAAACCTGTTCCATCCCTGCCTAGCCTCACCTCCGCCTCTGGGGTGTCGTGCGACCCTGATCTTGTGGGTTCGAACTTCGAGGACCATGGATAGTGGGTTTACAGATTTTACCTGGTTCTCATCGCTTGTGTCTTCGTGCCAGAAACACTGAGGGATCATGCTCCAAGTTTCTGGGCGTGCAGTTTTGACAGGCCCCCTCAAAATTGAGAAGGAGCAGTGCAGGGATCAAGATACTCTTCTTGTTTGACCGTCTTCGTTTTGGGGTCTGCTGCACAGATGCGTGTTTGTTGGCAGGCGCATGCAGGCAACCAGGCTAGCAGGGTCCAATCTCGCGGCGGAGCAACGTTTTGCCCGCTCCCCCGCCCCTGCTCAGAGAACAGCGACAAGACAAACCGCAAGCCCCGACAGTTCGGACAGCTTTGCTAATCGCGAAAGTGAGGAAAGCTATGCGATGCTATGGAACTGAGACAAAACTATGTTGTTTTTGACACTGAAGGTCATAGAATCCTAGATTTGAATCAAAGAGGGGTCTTCTGGTGGCTCGTTTTGTTGTATTTCCAGCAAGGATCAGAGATGACCTGTGTGTGCTCGATTCACCAGCTTATTAGCATGCGGCGTGCATCACGGTGCGGCTCGATAGCGAGCACTACTGTTGATGGACGAAATCCTGCATCGATTTTCTGCTGCCACCCCTCTCTTCGAAGCACTCAACCTTAAGATTGGTGTCAAACAGGTCTCAAAAAGGCATGTCTGCGAATTGACGAAATCCTTGGTGGAGTGATCCATTTTACATGTCACGCTCTGCTTGTGGTGGGTCATGCAGGATTTTATGCACCAACTGTCTCGGTACATGGTTTTCTGGCTAGTAGAGGTGCATCGACTTGGGCGTGCCTGTAAGAGGACACAACGAAACCGAGCACAATGCGCGGATTGTCGGGAATCGGTCCGTCCTTCGAAGGATTCACATGCCTTCTGTCGGCATGCGAAAAGAACAATAAGCCCAGATCATCGCAGACTTCGTCATCGCTGTGAAAAAAGAAAGGGAGGGCGGCTAGTTGGCTGATGTTTGACGTTCCTTAGGGTTAAGTAGTGGTGCAAGATTTCCTCCCTCCACCGTCGTCGTCGCAGTGGTAGTAGTAGTAGTAGTAGTAGTAGTAGTAGTAGTAGTCGCAGCAGCAGCAGCAGCAGCAGCAAGAGTAGTAATATCAGTCGTCGTCGTAGCATTAATACTTAGCAAGACTTAGCAGCAGCAGCAGTAGTAAAAGTAGTAGTAGCAGCAACAGCAGGAGTAGTAGTATCAGTCGTCGTCGTAGTCGTCGTCGTCGTAGTAGTGGTGTTTTTTGTTGCTGCACCATAGGAAGGCTTCATGGATTTATTGGTGGTTTTGAATTTAAAGTCCTGTTATTGCAGTGGTTGCTCTTAATTATTTTATTACGAGAAGAACTTGTAACAGAAGACTTCTCTTTGTTCTACCTTCTTCCTTTACACACTCCAGAACCCAGGACAGTGACGTCTATGCGGAGATTACCGTGAAGCCCACAGGTGCGGGTCCACCAAAATTTGCAGTCGAGAATTTACGACAGATGAATACTGAGTGGCGCCCCGTTCCTTTAAAGGGGTTGTAACCGAGATCTCATTGGTAAAGCCTCTGAATCAGGTTCGTCTTGCAGGACACGTCGCTTGTTTAGCGGCTGAGGGACTAGAGCATGAAAACATATGGAGTCGACACTATCTCAATTCAGGGCGCACTTGTTCCTTAATGTATATTCTTTGTAATTGTAGATACCGTCTGGGGGCTCGTTCTAGTACACGTACATCGGGATGGTAAAGTCTTGAAGGGGATATCGCCCTCACCCTAATTCTGAAAGCCTGACTCCCAACACCTTAAACCCATAAAGCCTAATCCCTGAACCCTAAACCCTAAACCCTAAACCCTAAACCCCAAACCCTAAACCCTAAAACCCAAGCCCTAAACCCCTAAACCCTAAACCCTAAACATTAAACTCAAAACCGTGGCTCTGCTGAGCCTGAAAGATGCAATAGAAGGCCTTCAGCCTTCCACGATGGCACGTAATATGGGTAGTTCTCTAAATTAGGGTCCCTTTTGGTCATCCCTTCTATAAGGATGCCGTACTATATTGGGGATCTAACAAGGCACCCTAGTTTAGAGAACTACCCATATAGAAGCCTAGATACTTACTAATATTGCTGTTAGGGCTCTTTATCATACACATACTGTAAGGGAGCCCAAAACCACATTCTCATTATTAAGGCCCCTACATTAAGCCCTAAACCCTAAACCCTAAACCCCCCACATTAGGCGTTGTTCTGAATTCGGGGGTTCCCCATAGGGAGACCTCAAGAGTCCCAGCGTAGAAGTTTGAAAGGTATAGGGTTTAGGGCCCTAAGCCCTAAACCCTAAACCGTCGGTTTAGGGTTTAGGGGTCTAGGGGGTCTACAAAAGGGTCCTGTGATATTGAGTGTTTCCTGGGTTTTTTGGGTTTCGTGGGTTTCGTGGGTTTGGTGGGTTTCGTGGGTTTAGGGGGTGTAGGGGTCTACGGGGTTTAGCGGGTTTTAGGGTTTGGAGGTTTAGCGGGTTTAGGGGGTTCAGTGGTCTACGAGGGTTTTTAGGATGTGTTAAGGTTTAAGGGGCCCTAAACCCTAAACCCTAAACGCCTAAACCGGCTTGACCGAAACCCTCAGTTGCCAAGACACTCAAAGGCATCACTACTTGTTACCTAAAGGGTCATGTCGTAACCCTTTTTTCTAAGGTAACTACTTGGAGGGTCATGGGACTTAGTAAGTAAGGTTATAACTACCCTAATTGGGTTATAGTTACTTATAGGCACAGTTACCTTATTCATAACCCTAGTTACTAAGCCCCATGATCCTCCAGGTAAGTTTATGGTTGGGATCTGTTATATAGAAAAATAGGGACACTAAGAAGGGTTAGGGTATGACCCTCTAGGTACAGTTCTGAGATCGTGGAACCATCACCTCCAAGTGCAAACTCTGCGAGCCCTAAATGCTGTGGCTTAAGGTTTAGGCTTATAGGTTTAGGGTTTAGGGTTTAGGGTTTAGTCAGCTTGCACGTGGTTCAAGTACAAGGGGGGGGGACTGGAATGGTCTGGGGCTTTGTAAACCATATACCCTAAACCCTAAACCCTAAACCCTAAACCCTAAACCCTAAACCCTTAACCCTTAACCCTTAACCCTTAACCCTTAATCCTAAACCCTATACCTGCCTAGTCCCTAAATCCCGAAACCCCAAACCCTGAAGCCTCAGACCCTCCAACCCTATGCCCGAAACCCTAAAACCTAAACCCTAAACCCTAAACCCTAAACTCGAAACCCTGAGCCCAAAACCCACAACCCAAGACGGAGTTCGCAAACCCTACGAGCCCCATTAGGGCTTCAGGGTTTTAGGGTTTAGGATTTAGGGTTTAGGATTTAGGGTTTAGGGTTTAAGGTTTAGGCCCTAAACCCTAAACCCTAAACCCTAAACCCTAAACCCTAAACCCTAAACCCTAAACCGTGGCAAGGGCGCACTTACCAGACGGAAGTGTTCAAGGATGCGAACTCGGGAAAGTTCAACTTTGCGGTCTTCACCCCTCCTGCCATGGAATCGCTTGAAATCCGGCTCCTCTTCAGGGTTTCGAGTTTAGGGTTTAGGGTTTAGGGTTTAGGATTTCGGGCATAGGGTTGGAGGGTCTGAGGCTTTAGAGTTCAGGGAGTATGAGTTTAGGGTTGAGCGCTTTTGGGACCCTAAACTCTAACCGGTTTAGGGTTTAGGCTTTAGGGTGAAACGTTGGTTTTGATCCTGCAGCCTCGAGGGGGATGCAGTAAACTATGGAATCCTTAAGGGAGGGGGTTCTAAGGGGGGTACATAACCCGGTAATCCCCAATTCTCCCTAATACTCCCTTAGGTTCCCTAAGGCTCCCTAGGACGCTCCCCCGTTGAGCCACCCTGCCTTAAGGATCCTATAAGTAAATTGAGGGTTTGTCACAGTTGGCTGTGGCGTGAGGTTTGGGTTAGGGCCTACGGACTACGGCTTGGCGCTTTAGCGTTTGACGGTGCGGCGCCGATATCAGTGCTCTAGGTTTTAGGCGTAGGGTTGGTTCCAAAGTGAAAGCCTTGATCACAACAGCATCGACACAAAATCTAGCACCAAGCACTAACCCCGAATCACTGCGACTCTCAGCAATGAAGCCACTGAACCCTTATTTTATGAAACACCTGTACAAAATGTACAAACCTACAAAGCCCCAGAAACCCCTAAACCCTAAACCCTAAACCCAAGGCTCTTCAACCACAACAACGTGATGACCCATGATCTGATCGGCACCGGCTTCTTCTATCCCCAAGCCGAGTCGAGGTCAAACAGTGTACCACTTTTGAGGGTTTAGGGTTTAGGGCTTTTTTGCCGCTGGTTACGGGTTTGAGGTCTCAGGGATTTAAGTCTCGGGTCGGGGGCTTAGGGCTTAGATCCTAGATGGGAACCCTAAACCCTAAAACCTTAAAATCTTAAAGCCCTAAACCCCAACCCCTAAAACCCTAAACCCTAAACTCTTGAGGCTTAAGGGGTTCATTCAATTTAGCTTGTCCTTTGGAAGCCCGGAAAGTTTCAAGACTGGCAGTCCTCCAAACCCCAAAGCCGCCTCAGCACGAAACCCTGAACTCCACCGGAGGGGCCTTCATAAAATAACCTAAACTGTTTTGGGGGTTTAGGGTTTATAGGGTTTAGGGTTTAGGGTTCTAGAGCTTACTGTAATATCGGGGCCTTAATAATTACCTATACTATTTTGGGGGCTTCCTTACTATGAATATAGTATAATGGGCCCCAAAACCCTATTCTAATTCTTAAGGCCCCTACATTTGGCCCACTAAAGCCCCGAACTCCCCA